CCGCCAGGATCTCGTTCTGGTTGGAATCCAGTCCGAAGAACTTGACCTTGAGTCCGTCAACCGGGTGGACCACGGGCACCAGGGTGATTTTGGGGAAAGTCCTGGTGGCGAGCTCGAAGCGGCTGGTGCTGGCCAGCTCGATGGCCAGGGCCTTGAGGAAAAGCTTGGCCAGGTGCTTCCCCAGACAGGTCCGTACTCCTCCTCCGAAGGGGAGGTAGTGGAACCTGCCGTCCTTGTCTTCGCTCCGGCCCTGCTCGAAGCGCTCGGGGTCGAACACGTCCACGTCCTTGAAGACCGGGGCGGTGTCGTGGGTGTCCCGGATGCTGTACATCACACTCCAGCCTTTGGGGATCTGGAAACCCTGTGGAGAGGCGGGAAAGGGGGGGAGGGAAAAGCAGAGTGGGTCAAACTCTACCGTCGGCAGAGAGGGAGCAGAAGGACAAGATAAAGGCACTTTGTTTTCGTACAATCGATCGTAGAGTCATGGAATAGTTTGGGTTGGAAGGGACCTTAAAGATCATCCAATTCCACCCCCTGCCATGGGCAGGGACACCTTCCACTAGCCCAGGTTGCTCCAACCCGGCCTTGGACACTTCCAGGGATCCAGGGGCAGCCACAGCTTGGTCACATCTAACTGCATGATCACTCCTTGGGCTTGGACAACCACCATGGGAAGCTTCCCACAAAGCCTCAGAGGATGCTGAGGACCAGATAGAATGGAGAAAAAGCCCTGGGAATGGCTCCTGACAGCACATGATGGACAATTTACACCCTGACCTTGCTGCAGGGAACAACCTGCTGAGGGCTCACGTGCCCTGCAAAGGAGGAACCGTGGAAGGGGATGGGGGCAAGGGGTGAAGCTGGTCAGGGCTGAAAGCTTCAGTTGTGCCAGGGGAGGTTGAGGCTGGACATTGGGAACCTGTTCCAGGGCCTCACCACCCTCACAGTTTTCCCTGCTTATTCCCATTCCTTTGGGTTTGTTATTCCAACGTGGCGCAGATTTAAAGGAAAACCAGAGAGTGCAGCACAAAGGGCTTGGAGACGCGATGGGAATCCTGGATTTACTCCTCCCTCTATCCCAGGGACCCACGGGATGATCTACTGCTATTTATTGCTTTGTGGTCACTGGCAGGAGTCTCCTACCAGGAACCCCCGAGCGGAGGGAAGCAGCTTCTCCCACATCCACCCCGTGCCCCACGCGCCAACCAGCCCTCCCAGAGCACCCCAGAGCATCCCACACCCCGCTGCCTGTCAGCCCCACACACCCAACACTCATGTCAGGGCCTGGGCGATGAGAGCCAGGGCAGATTTATCATCCCCTGAGCACTTTGAAGGGTTTCTGACTCAAATCGCCGCCTTAGGAGGATTTACAGCGATGAGCCCGGCCTGAAGGTTTTGTTTTGCTGGTAGGAAATTCCAGCCATGGTGGTGAGTAATCCCCCTGTCATCCAGCAGCCTGGAGATGCCCTTTGCAGTAAACCTTTCCCTTGTCACACCCCAGCTGGGATTTTGGCGTCAAACACTGTCATGGGCCGAGCTTTGAAGCCTCACACCCGTCCCCTCCTTCCCTGCCATGAGCCAGATTCCTGAGGAATCCAGGGTAAATCCATCTCCCATCACTAGCAGGGCCTAATTTATCCTCTCTGAGGTCTCATCTGAGCCGGGCTCAAGTAAGATTTCCAGCAAGTGAAAGGCTGGTTTGGGGAGTTCACGGTGCAGCTGCACTCCAGAGGGATCCAGGAATCCCAGAATGTGCTGAGCTGGAAGGGACCCACAAGGATCAGCCAGTCCAACCCTCAGCCCTGCACAGGCCCAGCCCCAAGAGTCCCACCCTGTGCCCCAGAGGATCAGCCAAACGTGTCCTGCACAGCTCAAAGAGCACATGTAAGAGGAGGACAGTCCCAATCCTGCCTTGTCCTGGCCAGGAATGTCTCCACCATCCTGGTTAAGCTGATTTTCCAACCTGTTTTGCTGGTCAGTACCTCACTCCCCTTCTACAAATAAAAGGACCATGAACACGAGTGGAGGCGTCTCCTTCCACCCAGCTCAGCCCAGCCAGGATTTCACAGATCACAGAACATCCT